GCCTGCTTTCATTAGTCACACCAGACAAATGCCAGGAACGTGGTTTCAACGAGGCTAAGAACGCTGCCTTCAACATTATTTTCGATTAATTATTAATTAATCCTCATTATTCAGAAGGATGTGAAGTTCTCGCGGTGCACCGCCGTGGCGAATACTAAGATGTCTGTCTTCTATGTTGTAGCGCCGTGCAGTGTGGTAGAAGTATACCGCCTTTTCAGAGGCACAAACCACATCCGAAACGTCGCCACACATGACGCTCCGACCCTTAAACATCCTATCATTTGAAGCTGCACAATAACCATAAAATAAATAAACATGACTCATGGTATTTGTAGTAACTGATAACATTGGTGAGTGCAAGCATTGGATTACATGACCACATAATTCAGTAGTTCTGTATCAGAAAATAAGGTTGCAATTTGTGTTTTGGTTCCAGTGAGTATTAATTGACGTTTGTGTTTTGTTTGTCAGAAATGAGAAATAAAGTAACCATATTCCACGAGAGAAAAATAAATGAAAGGTTATGAGACTGGTCCCGAGCAGACAGTTACACAGGTGACTTCCGAGGATTCAGTCACATCAGAACCCTGAAGATGGGGGAGATTTTGTTCCCGAAACGTCGGTTTACTACCGTAACCAATTAACGCGTCTGACTTCCCGAGAAGATTTTACTGATTGTACTCGCCGCGAAAGTCTCAAATCCTATAACATTCCTACAGTTATGGTAAATTTATTTGTCTACACCCCTCTCCTAAATATCTACATTACTGTACGCGTCTGTAGGCCTGATGCGAATTCGCAACTTGAGCAAGAAAATAACTTAAAATTGTTTCATAAACGCCCAACAAGCCCAGAATCCAATTCCACCTTGATTATTTCCCCTGTTATGCCCGTAATGCAGTGAGTTGGATAAAACCGTGTGACTGGCCTGTCACTGGCATGCTAGTAGAACGAAATCGAAAGCACCAAATATGTTAAAGACATTACCGACAGCGAGACACAAAATATTGCCGCTGGGACATAATGTTTATAGTGCGGACACTATGTGCCCCTCCCAATTATTCTGATCCCCTTGCTGTTTACTTCCAACGGACGTGAAAAGCAGATTCGTCCCGATTACAGAAACCTGACAAAAAAAATCACTTAAGTTTAATTATTTCTGCATTCTGCAGTATAATAACATCACAGACATAAAATACATTTTTCTTGTTGTTACGAACCTGTAGGATAGAGTTTATACGCACATAACATCCATAAAGAGAAAACAGTGAGCAGTCCTTCCAAACTTCATGTTTATCAACCTCGAGATAACGTTCTGACGTTCTAAAAGCGCTTACTGATTACCACAAACTCTACTTCCAATAATAACTCCATCTAGGTTTTCCCAAAGCATGACGACTGGTTTCTTCAGACAGCGACCATCGTATCATTTCATTGTCTTACTTTTCTATAATATATCAAATGATAAAAACTTGTATTACGAATAAAATATTCTGTACAGTCCTTGAGATGGTAATTCTCGTTCGACTAGTTAAAAAATCGCCAGCCTTGTATAAAACTCCAGGTTCACCACAGACCGTAACGTTTATCAGACAAATTCAGTTCGAAGTAATTAATTTATTAATCAGTCAATTTATCACTTACTTAGCCACACAATACGTTAAATATTCCGATAACCAATTAGTTTATTACTCAATCAGTCATTTAGTGACGTAAATAGTGTGTCAGTTTGACTGTGTGTTTGATAGTTAAGACCCCGATTACACACAAACTTCACTCTAGTACTCGAATGTGAATATGTGAAAAGTAAAGCGAGCTAAAGAAATTGTTGGTCTAGGCATCACGGAGTTTTCCTCCGGGGGCTTCCCCGGTTTCTCCGTGGCATCCCAACAATTACTCCATTCACACACAGAAGAAGGCAATGGCAAACCACTTCTGGATCATCTGCCAAGAACGTATATGAACAGGTCCCAGTCCGAGAAGAGGATGGAAGGATCCTGTTCATATGGACCTGTCGTCAGACAGAACACTACAAATAAAAAATAAATAATCAAAGATGGAGCTATAGATTTTTGCACTAAATAAAGTAGCAACGCTGCCAACTGCACTAAGGTTCACAGTAAAAAAAATAAGCAACAGCTGTTTCAATATCACTATGCGCCACATAAAGAATGTACGGCAAGTTTCCTGGGAACACGGGTGTTGTTAAAGCATCGTAAAATAATTCATTCAAGATTACCGACGTTTATAAATTAAAATAAAAATGTATATTAGATGCTGTAGTCAAGTCAGACTGTAAATAGATCAGGCTTCATTCGGGATAGAATAGAAGACAGTCGGGCTTCGATCGGGTACGGGTAAATTTTTTGAATATGTATGTACATTTCTTTTCGGGGTCGGGCCAAGTTAAGTTATAATATTTCGACCCGTGCAGACCTCTATCAGAGTGTGTGTAAATCAGTGGCATAAGTGTATGAGTCAGCGGAAAGTTCACAAATGTGTGCAAACACTTAAAAACGCAATAAGACAAAGAGAGCAGATCGACCAGAGCATCAGCAGAGAGAGAGAGAGAGAGCAAATTTGAAACGGACAGTCAATTTAAACCTTTAAAACTTAGAAACAGCTGGAAAAAAAAATCACTGCAGAACAGCAGTTGCGCATATGTGCGTGACTATTTTGTTAAAACACAAGTTTTGTCTTCAAATTAAAATGGGCTTCACTTTGTAACGGGTTCATTCACGAAAGCTGACGATCAGAGCTCTACAAAGTAGTGACGAGAAGGCCTACAATTTAAATACAGTCAAACTTCGCATGGACTTCAATACTAGACTTGCCGCAAAATAACTGCGACCTTCAATTGCGTTACTGAAATACGGGAAGACAAAGATTGGAAAGAGCAGTGGGTGGGAGCATGAAGGCAAACAGTCTACAGTGCAACTGAATTTTTTTTATTTAAATTTCGACACAAAAAATTACTTTTGCACCAAACTGAGTTTTGAGAACAAAAGAGACTTTCAAACACAAGCAATGTAGGCACACGCCTTAACCCTCACGCGCTATTCCTACAGCCCACAAGCAATAATTTCACATCTGATAGTACAAGGAAGGAGTGGGTTATCTCTTCGCACATGCTATCGCTTGGCGTTCTTGAACTCCCTCCCCATGCGTCTTCGTAACGGTCATCCAAGCTCGGAGTTACGTTGCGGACACTGAACCTCATTCTGGGATGGATACATCTCCTCCCTGATAAGCTAATCTGTGCAAGAAATTCCAGGTTTATACTGAACCTGAAGTTACAAGCTTTTCTGAAACCACATGCCACAAACCCTACAGTGCATCAGATCCAGCCATTGCAGAACTGCAGAAACTATTTATAAATTATACATTAAAATATTATCCTCACTTCATATTCGATTTCTAGGTAATCTGTGTTAATAACCCCACCTTCGACAAACTGCAAGACCATTCTTTGCCGGCTGTCAGATACGCGAAGGCTAATCAACGTGACCTCAACTCCCTCTTCATATGTGAAAGCCAGTTTCTTTCATTCGTAACCTGACCGCGCTGCAACACTTGCTAGAAATACACTCGTAAGATTCTACACAGGAAACAACATACGATATTTATATCCCTGAAGATCTGAAGCTTAGGCATGTATTATTTTGCCCTTTTCAATCTTTTATACGTGGGAAAGAAACTAAAATTCAATTCGACGTCTCAAGACTCACAAAGTCGTGCTGTGAAATATTTTTTTAAAGCACACACAAATACAGTGTGCACAGGCATTACTCAGGAGACTATAACGCCACCGAACGTCGAGTGGTTAACACTCCTGGTTCGTATTCGGGATGTCACGGATTCAAATCTCTGCCCCAGGTTTCTCATGGTTTTCCTCAATCCCTCCACGCAAATGCCAGTACAGTAGGTCACGACCCTTCCACATCCATTCCAATTCATTCTTCGCCATTATCTTCTCACTTACGCTATATAGTCTGGGATACTGAAAAGGGCCTTTTAATAAACTATAAATAAATATATAATATGGTTTTCAATTTACTTTCTTTCTTCACTATAAATGATAACAGTAATAAGGATGAATGGGTTTTTGTACTTTGTCCATCGTCTGGTATTCTAAAACACACGTTTCAAAGACCAGATCCGGACAAGCCCAGAACTCAGCAATCCATGTTTGAAAACACCATCGTCATAATCCAAAATCGATATGAATTAACAACACTTTGGAAACGAGTAATATAAAAGTACTAAAAGAACTTAGAAAAAAATGTCGTTCTAATTTAAACAAGTGAGTAATATAGAAATATACAACAAACACCAGTCAATTAATAATTATAAACAAATATAGAAATTAAGTGGATTGATAAAGTACGAAATGAGCTGGTCTTAGACAGGATAGGCGAAGGAAAAATCTTACGAGAAGAAGGGATAGGATGGTGGGACACATTCTGAGGCACCCAGGATTGGTTAATTTGGTAATGGAAGGAACAGTTGAAGGGAAGAATTGTAGGGGGAGACAAAGATTAAGATATGTGACACAGATTTTTGAGGATGTGGGCTTCAAAAAATATGTGGAAATGAAGAGACTGGCGCAAGATAGGCGAAAATGGATGACCGCATCAAACCAGTCAGAAGACTGATGACAAAGAAAAGAGAAACAAACACAAAGAACAATGGTCAACTGTTGTTAGAATTGTAGAATAAAAGTCTCTTGATTCAAAATATCGCGGTAGACGACATAAAATCACATTTCTGGCTCAATGAGAAACCTCCCTCTCACACACGTATTATTCCTGAGGTTATAAAACCCTTTAGGAAAACAACACGACATATTAAGTACTTCTTAAATTCAGCTTCCTTATATCAACACTGCAAAACGGGCATTCCATAATATACATGCTCATGCTCTATTGTAACAAGTATCCCAGGAAGTCTTCATGTACGAGTATCAATATAAGGTGCATATGGAAATTCACATCACTCACATTTCTGGGCTCCCTGTCGTCCCATTGGACTGTTTCTCTTCGTATGGAGCCGGGGATGGTGGTGGCGGCTTGCTGTAGGGATGAGGGTGTGTGTTGTTATTGCTGTGATGATGATGGTGGTGGTGATGGTGATGCCCAGATGGTACGTTCACTTTGTTGGCATTATTGTCAGTGCCACTTTGGGGCGAAATCTTGCCAGCCAACGCGTTCAAACTATGTAACATTTCAATATGATTTGTTTCCAACGATTTTAGTTAATGTTAGTAAATATTATTACGCTGAAATACGTCAGCTGTATGTTGATATTACTTCCCGAAATTATTTATCGCTTTACTTGTTACAAAACACGGAATAGTATTTAATGCTCCACACACACAAAAAATAATATAAACGAAAAGTTCTTTACAAAGTTTTAATACTGAATTCAGTACTGAATTTTTAACTCAACCTTCATCAAAGTTTATGGAGTGTATAAGACCTTCTTCCTGTTTCACTACATGCAGTCAGTGCACTTCGAAGAGGTTTGTGAGAGTTCCTGAACGTGCTCGATGTAACACTTCCTTGTTTTCTCAGCCTTAGCAAGCCCAACTATTTTTACGACACTCCAGTTCAAATGACCACTGCAGTTACAAACGCTCTACCTCATTAAAAGTGTTCGAACTTATAAGACGTCAGGTTAACAAACACATAATTCTTTTTCACCATGTTACACAGAAGGAAACACTTTTGCTTTGTATGCTATTTATTCCACACTCCTCTTATATATCCCTTGACACCAAAAATGTCACACCCGAACAAAAATGAACTGGATGGAGAGAAGCTTATATCACAACTGAGGTTTTGTGGACTCTGGAGGAGATAACAGCAGTTCGGACAACAGCGAGATAACGTATCACTTTCTTGACACACCTAGTTATGTATACTCCCCCATAACGTTATTATTACATTACACACAATTCAGAATTCTAAGCTATGTTATTCATATGTTTTCCATGAGGTACGTCATTCTTACTTGGCATACAGACTAGGTAGGTCTATGTAAAGATCGTTCCAAATCTGAAAAAAAAGCACAATAAACTGTTGCAAAGCAGAATGAATATTTAAAAATATAATAAAAAGTAATAAATATACTACCCTACTTAACACGATTTTGTGGTACCATTCAATTACACCTGAAAACGACAGTGTTACCAACGAAATATTTCAGGAAAACATGATCTACTGAATGAACACGGGTATAAGATTTAACAATATGAACGAAAATTTATCGAACAGAAGACAATGCTCAACACGAAACTGCATTTTGAATACAATTTAACTTCTGCCTCGAAAGTTTTATGCAGTTCTGATACAAACAAATGATAACATGTTATTAGAACATTCACCTGACCTCAACCTTTCAGCGAATTTTCCAATCTATAGCCTACGGACCGATTTTTATATTATAATTCTGTTTTCGCCTTTTTCCACAACCTGACACATCCAGCGAGGTTTCCCCAAGGAAATATCCGCACGCAAGGTATATTTCAACTTCATTTAATTCTAAATATATGTACTTCTGATATAAACATTTTCACCGTGTCGTTGCCAATACCTTGAACCTCAGTTGATACAGCACACTAATAATAAAGAATTGAATTGAATTAGAATGAGATGGGCCGGCCATGTAACATGGAAGCGGTGATAATAAACACAACATTTTAATCAAAACACTTATAGCCAACATTCCACAGTGGGAAGCGTACACAAGAATAAACGAGTTGAAAATATTAAAATGGGTCTTGAGAAAGCATTTGTATGAAGATGGCTGGCTTCCGGATTTCGGTGTAATGCAATCTGGTAGAAATTTTCCAGCGTTTATAAGATCCTTACTGCCTTCATCATTAGGGCGATGAGACGTCAGTAAACTCCTACCACACTAGACGGCGCTACGTCCCAGAATACAGCCATTTTCGTACTCACCAATGTGAAAACCCAAATCCTACTTAATTTGTAAAACCTTAAACAGAATACTCAACGGTGGTATTATTATGGTAGAACCGTTCGCCAATAAAGGAGTCATTCCGACTTTTTATTCTGTTGCAAAATTCCCAAAAACAAAAAACATCTTACAACAAAGACCACAATGCGTGAACTCCTTCATTTCAATTGATAATTTATAAATTTAATGAGAACAAAAGCCCCGTCTTCTCTACAGTTCCATGTGAGCACATTTAAATCATTCTGTTGTTGACTATTTTTTATACTTGTTCAATTTCTATACATTAGAATCCTTTCGCAAATAGGATATGATTTAATAGATACGTAACGTTAATAGTTTAAGTAAGTTTATTATTCTATAAAAATTAATGTTGCAAAATTCGCTGATTTAAGCTCTTCCATCTTCAGTACTGGCATCATTTAGTTAAAATATCTTAAAAATTTGAAGACGAAACGGCCAACGTTTTACATACAACCATAAATTATGTATATTAAGGACTTTGGGGTAAGGAACCAATATTTACGCCCAGTTATTACTAATCTTCTTGCTGCTGTTATTGCGATGTGTTATTAACATCACTTTTGTCAAAGGCGATACCATTACAACGAAAGCAATTTTTTATAATAAATAATTGACAAACGACATGAATTGATGCAGAGACCCGAAGAGAATATTAATCTCATCTGATGCCAGTAGACCTACAAAGTGAAGTACAGTATTAATGGCACGTGGTCACGCGAATGTAGAAAAGACCCAGCTCTCGAAACACCATATGCTGATTCGATATACGTTACACAAAGCGAAATATCGAATATAATTTAATGTTAGCCGTTAGTGTAAGTCCAAATGAGTGACCTTAATAGTTCAGCAGTGGACTGTAGTTTGATTTTGGTCCAACGTTAGATATCCCTGATTAAGTGGGATAGAAATTCTGGAACAAAAATCACTGGATTAACACGAAACTCATTTAGATTTGCATGTCACTTCACTGTTTCTATTTCTTCGTTCCTTTTCTACTCAAATTGCCCTTTCTAACACCCCAACTTCTGTACGCCTCACATGGGCGTAAACATTAAAATCAGCCTTGCGTGTATCTTGGATAACCGCATTCAAGATATAACAGCACAGTACGTACGTAATATGCACAATTCAGATTCAAACATGTTTCTAAAAAAAACGGCGTATTTTATAAAAACAACAAGTCCTTCAGATTCAAACATGTTTCTAAAAAAACTGCGTATTTTATAAAAACAACAAGTCTGGTTTCATTTCTTCTGCGCGCCAGAAAATGTAACTGACATGGCGGTGGATGAGTGACGGTTTGTCACGCAGAACGTGCAGAAATACTGCGATATTTGCTGGACTGATTCCATTCCAACTTCTCATGCATTCAAACAATTGTACAACCGTTCGCATTATCATCAATAAATATTATTATTACCGTTAAAAGTCTACGGCTAACAATAGGCTTCATAGTCGTAAATCCAAGCACACGACTCCACAGCACGAATTGGCAAAGTATTTCACTCTAATTCTGCTTTAAAATGTGCTCCGGTGTCCGTATTTATGTGATGACACTCTAAATTCTATACGAAGTGTTCGTATTTATGTGATATTTTCAATTCTGTCTGCGCTCGCGGGTTCGTGTTTTTGATGGCATTCTAAATTCTATATGTGCCTGAATGTTCGCATTTATCGGGGCTGACACTAAATTCTGCGCATATAATTACGTAATAGCACACTAAGTTCTACGTGTGTCTAGTTACTTAATGACATACTGAATTCTACCTGTGTCTAGTTAGCTGATGGCACACTAATTTCTACCTGTCTAATTACGTAATGGCACACTAAATTCTATCTGTGTCTAAATTTCCGTATTTACGTCGTGGACCTTCAAATTCTGGACGAGCCAGGGTGTCTAATATATGGGGATCCTGAAATTCTGCATGTACCTGAGCGTTTGATTTTGTGTGAAAGAGCCCTAAATTCTGCCTCTAAATGGGTGTATTTGTCGTGACATTCTGTATTATAACTGTGCATAAGTATTCGTATGTATGTGATGACACCAAGTCTAACTGTCCAGGGGTGTTCTATGTACAAAATTACACTCATGTCCTCATCGCAATACAGTTAAGCCTTAAGACATGTCTTATATCAGAAATGCCTTTGTAATTATAAATTCATGTACACATTTGGTACGTCACCTTGGTCTAATGGTAACCCCACCGATTTGCCTCTACAATGAAGTATTCAGAATACGATTTGAATATTATTCAAGGAGGCAGGAGGGAGGCAGGTTCTTTTATCTCGACGTGGTCTGTGTCCAGTTTCCCACAGCGCGGTCCCTTATCTTGCAAATTCAGCTGTGGTATATGACACCAAGATGTGTGCTTACGGATACAGTACAAGAATGCTGGTGACTGATACTTTCACACTGCTCGTCGCACAAACCATACGACGCGGTCGTCAATGAACTAATCAACCAGCAGATTATACAGACAACAGAGAAATCTGTCTGGCTGAGAAAGTAATTATTTTTCCGGTAATAGAATCCTGCTCCAACATTACTAACGACTCGACCTTGAGCCATTTTCATGTACCTCCGTACTTACAGCATCTTTCTTTAACATTCGTGCCATGTTTCCATCCCTTCTTCGTCTGGGCCTACCAAGTGACTCTTCTAAAACGTAAAATCAACAAAATCAGAGGGAAAGGAAGAACAAATAGGCTAATTCTCTAATTATGTATCGACACTTCATCAATTGTAAAACTTATGAGCAGAATGGTAGTTCGAAAGGATGTGATAAGAACAAACCGTGGCCTACTTTAAGCTACTATCGCACAATTTTCCTGGATTGGCACAGGATATCCACAAGAAATATCAGTGCAATCACTCTCCGAGTCGAGATTGGAACCCGGGACTTCTTGAATACAATACAAGAGTGCCAACAACTCAACCGCGGCTTTCAATTAAAAAGGAGACACGGTTTATTTTCACCAGATATTTAATAGTAAAATACCCAAGTTCCTGTGCAGTGATACGCTGCAAGAAATCCCGCGCATGCATTCTACACGAGTAACTGATTGGCTTATATAAACCTTGAAACACGCAAATGTAAGACAATGGTTGCAAAATAAAGCGATCTGTGTGTCAGCGAGTCTGTGATGGAGGAGGAGGAGGTTCCGAAAATAGATCACTCCTGCTTTATGATCAGGGCAGCCAACTACACCCTCACAATACAGGGTGGCCAGAAGTAATAAGACACTGGTACAAGAATGGCTGTCTTCAGTACTGTTGCATCGTGTAGTCTCGTAGCAGTTTACCATCGTTTCACAGGCGATCGCCCTGATGATGGAGGCAGCACGGACCTCTGAAACGTTGATAAACTTCTACCAGACTACACGCCACAACAATCCACAAGACAGCCATCTTCGGACTCACCGCCGTGAAAAACTCAAATCATACTTTGAGTAGCATAAATTACGTAATGATAATATATAAGATGATCAGATCAAAGCGTATGCGATAGTCAGTGCAAGTAGCAGATGAAGAATGCATATAAAAATGACATTATAAAAACCAGACAGACAAAATTAAACCACTTTTAACATAGATCTGTAGATACGATATTAAAATGGATCTTGAAGTAAGGTTACGAGGATGAAGAATGGATTAACCTAGCTCATGTTGGAATCCAGTAACTACTTCATATGAACAGTGTAATAAGCCTTCACACTGCAAAACTAGCAAGGAATTTGACTAGCTGAGTAATTATTACATCCTAAAGAACTCTGCCATGTGGGATTAGTTAATTACCTTTAACTAAGTCAGAGGTTTCCCTTGGGGGGGAGCGGTTTTCTAGGGGGGCGTGTTGTTTGTAAGAAAAACATTTTTTAACGAAATATGTAGAAACATTTTTTACATTCTTTGATTGGTTGAGGCAGTTTAGTTGTCTTACAGTGCTGTATACTCATAGCTAAATTTTATGTCAAATCTGTTTGCTTGCACTTGTTCAGGAAGGGGGCGTCAAATTCATGAAATGTTTTAAAGGGGGCGCAAGGTATGAAAGTTTGG